TGTCCTGGCAAACACAAAAACCAGACTGATGCATCAAATTTCCAGATGGAGAAGTATGGTTTGTTGCTCCAGAGTGTGTGTCTTTAATTCCCTGGTGTCCAGTGGCAGCATGCTTAACACCACTGCATCTGACACTTTGCTTTGCACTTGATGAGGTAAGGTTTGAATGCAGTTGCTCGACCGTGGAAACCCATTACATGAAGCTAACTGTTCTTGAGCCAATCTGAAGGCCACATGATGTGTGAAAGTTGTAATTGTTGAGAAACACTTCTATTTTCTTATGATAAAGCTGAAAACTGTGGAATATTTAGGATGGAGGAAATGTCACAACTGGAGATGTTGCAAGGACCTGGGTGGCATCCTATCACAATTCCATGCTGGAATCCACTAAGCTCCTGAGTGCGATCCATTCTTTTACAAATATCTGTAACAACAGTCTTCAGAAAACCCAAGGTGCTTTTCTCTTATACACCTATGGTCATAGAAGGGATTGAAACACCTTATTCCAATCATTCAGATGGATAAGCAAATATCTTTGGCAATTTATTGTATGTGTGATTCAGGGGGGCGTATTCATTTTCACTGAAATATAAAATGGTGTAGGATCATCAGATTAATTAACAATAAATCCAATGATTTCTAAGGTGGAAAAGATGTAAAAAAAAAAATCATAAAGTTCTGTGTAACTGTGAAACACCGTCCGCTGTAGGACACTTGGATTTCATCACAATGGAATAACGTGGAGGAAGTTCTTTAGGTTTTTCAGAGACTGTACTGCCCTGCTGCCACATGATTGTTATTTTGGAATCAATCCAAAAATAACAGAGGGAAAAAATGAGAAACATTGCACTGCTGGTACCACTTTAAGATCTCACTATGCTGAGTTCATTCCAGCCACTCGGTTTCGAAGGAGCTGACTGACAGGATTGGTATTTCAAGGTGTCATTCCAGTGTGGGGTCCTGTCACCATACCTCCGACTGATCATGCGCCTTAGCTACTTGGCCAAGAGGGCATCCCTTTGGCTGACTGGTCAGCATGCATGGCTTTCTCCTGGGAGTCCGAGGATTGGATAGCGCCCGGGCCATCTGTAGTGTACCATGCCACTTTTGCCGTTGCTTGCAGGATCTGTATACTGTGCCGGTAAAAAAACTATTCCTGGGTTCAAAACAATGATTGTGGAGCACGACGGCGTGCTAGGGAAAGAAGGGTAGGCTGGGCCCTCTGTTGTGTACCTTACCACACCATCATGAAAAGGCTTCAACGCAACTAAGATATATAAAATTCCTATACACTGCAATTTGTTACTTGTGCATTTACTGGTGATTTCACCAATGCTTTGCACTAAGTCTTAAGTATCAAGGGCACCTTGATTGAAGGTGGGGGTATAAATTAGAACGGGACGCTCTCTTTCCTCCACTGGAAATGGAAAGTAGTTGTTGCTATGGCAACAAAGCGATACCCCATGTGCATCCCTTTTGAAATAAATTACAACCCGTTTCTTGGTACTTTGTTACTCCCTACTCTCACAGAGTTGTGCCATAAACATGCTGTCGTGTGAAGCATTTGGCTGCAATAACAAGCAGTTTTCTGCTGTGGTAATATGTTTCACAGGTAATATGTGTGTGTGTGTGTATACATATATATAGAAATATATACATACACATACGTATTATTATGCTCCATTAATACACTAATTATGTTGTGATGGATTTGTATAATATGTTAAATATTACATGATATATTGACTTAATACTGAATATGCATTATGTAGTAATTTTTATCATATACAGTATCATATACAACATCTACTGATGCTATAAAACAGCTACTCTGTATCAAAGTGATGACTTTAGCTCCAGTTACACTACCCTCTGAAACCGATCCTTGTCGAGTTCGGACCAAGCTAGGATCAGTTCACCATGCCAAGGTTGGATCCTTACGACTGTTTACACATCACGCTAGCACGGTTCCTCTCCTCCTAGTGACGATCTAGGGTACTACTGCTCTCTAGGATTGAAGGAGGAAATTAAATTGGCGGCACCTGTAACATCCAGGAAGTTATGCTTGGTTATAATTGTGATATGTCGTTGCCTGCAGAGTGAAGAAGGCAGCCTTTGTTGAATTTACTTGACACAGTGGGCTTTTGGCAAGTGGATACGACAAACAATAGTCTAATCAGGGCTTACAGACACATGAAACAATGACAGACGTTGACGTTCATCACACTGCTAAGCAGAATCATCTCTGAAAATCATGTGACACAGTAGGGAAGCTAGTACTTCTATGAATATCTGAGATGCTACGATCTGCTCATGCTCTCTTTGTTATCAGAGAACCGAGCCACAACTCTACTGCGCCCATGCCTACTGTTGAACTAGTATTAGTTTTTTTTAAAGAAAATCTGTAATAAAATGCACAGAAATGCCTGATGTAGCACAAATAACCTACCCAATTTATTCAAAATAATATGTCAGTAGGTTCAGTGATGACTAGCAGAGGTGGTTGTAACTAGTTAAATTCACTCAAGTACCTTTTATTTAAAAATAGCACTTTAGGTGTCCTTTTACAGCACTTTACTTTTATTTAAGTAAAAATATGATTAAGTATTACTACTCTTAAATCAAAAGTCTTGCTACTTCATCTATTGTAACTTTAGTTAATGAAAACGAACTTGTTCTAAAAAAAATATGCACCATTGACATTTATTTTTTGTGCTCAAGGCTTATTGATTAAATTGTATTTTTCCATCTGGTCTGTATGCGGTGTCATTTGGAGATTAAATGAAAATACTGTAAATGGTATACTCCAACTTAACCTATTCTACATACTGTAACTGTTGATTTTGTAATTTTTATAACGGATTAATAATTTTACAAACATTTAATTTTCTAACAATTGTTTCACGGATTAGGGTTAGATGCATTAATATACGGGGAAAACAGTTTATAAGCTAATGATGAAAATGTATTTCTGGTTCTTTAATGTCATTCTGTAGTGAATGTTCAATTTAAATGTCCTTTTATAGTCTTCTAAGACTGGTATGTGTTTCTACACTTATTTAAAACAATTAGTGTAATCTCTACCATTTGTAGCCACAGTTATGAGCCATAGTAGAGGTTCCAAAAAGCCACTTGAAGCTCCAGAGCAGCAGGAGACCCATGACCAAGGGTCCAGAAGCCACAGTAAATTTGGGGAAAAGGAAAGAGCAAGGGCGAACTGTCTCTGGTCTACACCTGACAGGACCTGTTTTCACAGTTGCTTTATTGTTGACGCTTTTGTACACAAAAGTAGTGATAACTGATCGACTACAATTTCTTAATTGATCAGATCAATACTCAATTAGTGAGGCAGATATTAACCTCCGACTTTTTTTAGCTGTGTATTTCAAAAGGTCTTGAGGAAGAGTACACTTCTGATTCATGTTATTCAATACTGCCTATACATAACAGTAAGAAAAATCATTGTCCCATCACCTCTGCTTTCTGAAAAATATCCAAGCGATAATAAAATAAACATTATTTCTCAGACTATAGGGGGCACGTTGTCAACTTTTTAAATACAGTATATGAAAAAAGGATTGAAGAATACTTTATATAAAAAAAAATATTTGTGATGTATTTACAGCAGGTTTCCTCAGTCAGATTTATGAATTTCTGTAGAATGACCTACTAAGGTTAAACACCAGACTATGTTCAGTGACCAGATAGTTGTATAGAATACTAAGTCTAATAAGACTGGCCTATCAGTTTCAAAGAACCTTATTAAAACAATTTTTTGTCATTAAGCATACCTTTCATTAGTCCAACACATTGGCGTAACTTTCTGAAGGACTGGTGTGGACATGTCCCCACCAACTTTTGGCATGGAGGGGACAGTCCCTGCCAATAATTTTCGCTTTTTCCCCCGTCTTTCAGCTGATTTACTTTATCCAACAGTAACTGGGGTTGGGTGCAGCTGTCTGTGTTCAGAGCGTTTTCTCCTCTCTCTCCAGTCCCACCTCTCGGTTAAACATCATCGGACCTTTTGCTTTGGGATATAATATTATTTGGGGTCGCTATTCTCTGCGTACAGAGTCGGTACGAGGATGAGAAGAGATACCCGATATGGCAAGGCGTTTTAACATACAGTTGGTTTCGTCTGACCCTCTGGCAAGCTGCGTAACCTAAATTCGCAGCAGCACTCAGTGAATTTTAACTGGCAGCTACTCGGATATATGTGTAAGTAAAAGTTAGGAGACTGGTTGGTTAAAAAAAAAATCAGAGATGCCACCAAATAATCTGTTAGTTACACATAAGGACCTTTTTCATCTAAAAATGGCAGCAGATTGTACATTTAGGAGTTAAAAAAGCTGGGCTTCTCAGGACCATACTCAGTTACAAATTAAAATTAACATATATCTGTTGATTTCTTATTGAATAGAGAATCAGACTGCAGAGCTTCTAGAGATCCTGAAAAAGATTTTCTCAGGCATCATTATATTAGTAGACATGTTCATAAATCTGTTTTTAAGCAGAGCAGGGACACAATTAGGGACAGCTGCTGATTTAAAGGTGAAACAGATTTACTGGGATATGCAACATGCAATAAAATATATCTCCAAGTTTACAAGTAAAAATATGCAATGCTATAATAAAATTCAAAATATAATTTTGTCTTTTATAGTCCAACAAGACCCAGAAATAGCTGTGCCAGCCAAGCCAGACTCACAGGACGCAGAGTTAAAATTAAAGTATAAGAAGCATACAATAATTAAAGCACAAATAATACAAACCAGTGTATAAATGATTTTGAAATATAAGGTTCAATATATAAACTTTGGCTGTCAATGACATATGGGACAAATTTCTAAATTTTATTTTGCTGCTAGAATAATAGCTGATGCAGCTTAAAGGGAAGCCATGCATCGATGGATTGATGGTAGTGAAGTTGTGTCCATACTAGGGATGCATGATATATTGCTGTTGGCATCGGTATCGACTGTTATTCTTCATTTTTTAGACATTAATATTTTTGAACCCTTTATAAAATAATGCACTAAAGGCAGTCATCTGTCTATAACTATAAATACCAGAAATGTATTGTGGTACTCTTGTGTTCTCAACAATAGTAAAGCATTTAATAATAATATGTTTGAGCTCATTTTTGGAAAATATAAACCGTATTGGTAGTGTTCGGGTTGAGTAGCTGTAGGTCCATCAGCCACCACCCCTAGAGCGTCCCCACCAACTTTTATCGCAAAGATACACCCTTGGTCCAACATTCCTGTAATAACCCAAAAAGTATATCTAAATGTACTTAACCTTTTGTAGTTTTTTCAACTTCAAATGTCTCCAAGCATCAGGTTTCTCTGCTATATCACAAACGTATGGCCAAATCTTTTACTTCTGAGGTAGAAACAACATGAAGAGACACAAATCAGAACTAGAATTGGATACTGAAGTTGACTTTACCATTTAATTGCAACTAGTTTCTTTAAGAATAAAGTGATGAAAAGAACATTCCCATTAAAGCAACATATCACTGTCTGTACAAGATTTTTTTCACGTTATCAATTTAGAAACAATTGATAAAAGGCATACAAGAAATAAACAGAATTTTTTTTTATCTTGAACAGGAATAGTCGTAGCATTGAAAGCCATTTCAAAGGAACAAAATGAACAAGGTAAAGCCTACTTTACAGAATGTCAACAAAATATGTCAAACCTCAAAATCTAGGTCATTAAAGACATATTGTACATGTTTTTTGTAAATCAAACAATAATTCAAAATTTGTAACACAGATTTACAAACACTGTATCAGAAATCGTTTTTACTAATCTCAATACAATAATAAAAAAAAACAACACATAACTAAAGAAAACATGTTCTATCATACCTGACCCTAGGTCAAGTGCTTTGTGAATATGCAACAAGTAAGGTCCAAACAGTTGGAAGTACACAAAAGTAAGGCATAAAGGGACCTTAGAATATATGATTTTAAGTGATTTAGAAAGAAGATAAGGTATACAGGAGGAACTGGAACATTACTTAGCAGATGCTACGTGAGAAAGTTGATGTTCTTCCAGCAGGTGAGGAAAAGCAAAAGCTTTGTCACACTCCGTGCATTCATACACAACTTCGCCAACATGACTCTCCTGATGCTGTCTAAGAAGAACCCGCTTGCTAAATGACTTGTAGCACATGTCACAACGATACTCCCCAACATGTTTCTCAGCATGCAGTCTCATATGGTTAGATAAGTCTTGGCATGTATTGAATCTCGCTCGACATTGGATACATTTAAACTTCTTTTCCAGGTCTGCTTTAGTAGAAACATACTCTTTAGGACCATGTTGTCTTAGTTCATGCTTTCTGAGGTAACGCTTCTTGCTGAAGGTCTTTCCACAGGTCTCGCATTTATAGTCTCTCAAGATTTTGGAGTGTTGAGTGTTTTGATGTTCCAGTAGGCTGCTTTTGGAAGAGAACTGCACTGAACAATCCTGGCATCTGTAGAGATCTTCTCCAATAACATCGACTTCCTCTTCGTCCCCTGTAGCCTCATGAGTTGGACTAGCATCTTCCTGATCCAAGTACCTGTTCTCCAATATTTCTTGCCGTTTCAGAGAACAATTATGGTGAAGAAGAGCCTCTTTCTTTAAAAATCTTTTACCACACTCCGCACAATCATAAACAATTGGTGTCGTAGGGTGAAGAACTTCTTGTTCTTCTGACTCACTGTCTGAGGTATGTTGTTCCGCCTTTTCCTGTTCAGGTGAACAATCAGGGTGAGTTGGAAAATGTTGGATCAGTTCTGTGGCACTACTAAAACACTGGTGGCAAACTGGGCATATGAATCCCTTCGATGAGTCCCTTTCCTGACCCAATACTATTGTAGTGCCAACATGGGTTTTGAGATGACTGAGGAAGTGCTGAGATGAGGAAAAACTACTGTTACACTGATTACATGGATATTCTCTATCAGACCATGGCTGCTGATGAGTGATTTGGTGCTTTTTCAGATGAGATGCATGAAGAAAATATTTGTTGCACTCTGTGCAAGTATAGGGTCGCTCTCTTGCCTCCAAGCATCCGTGTTCAGAGAGTTCTTCTGGATCTCTGAAGCGCTCACTACAGATGCCACAGCGGTACTTGAACTCGGTTGTATATCCGAACATGCTTTTAGGGTGTTCAAGCTCTCCCTTGGAACCTGAAGTCAGGAGGTCTTCATTTGACATTGTGTGGGTCTTGCGATGCTCAGCTCTGCTGCTTTTACACTGAAATATCTTATTGCAGATATCGCATGGAAAGCTCTCTTCTCGGTGCGTTGACATGTGCTCTGCTAGCTGTGTGGGTCCAGCAAAGCCTAGGTCACACTTTGGACAACGGAACGGACGGCTCTTCCCGTGAGAATGTTTATGATTCCGTAGTGCAAACAGCGATACAAATCCTCTACCACATGTTGGACACTGAAACTCAGACTTGTGCATGCGCTGATGCTGTTGCAACTGGGACGCCTGGAAGAAACATTTACCGCATTCAGCACATTCATGTGGCTTTTTGCCAAGGTGACACAACTGGTGGTCCTCAAGACTTTCTGATGTTGGGAAAGTCTTTCCGCACACATGGCAGGGGAAGTAAGGGGCTGAGTCAGAGTCACTGTCGCTGCCAAGGTTTTGATCTTCATCACTATCACCATTTGTACTAACATAACTGCTAGACTGCTGTTCAACACTACCCCACTGCAGATATCCACCCCTTTGTTCTCGTATCTCCTTTGGATGGCATTCCTTACAATGTCTTGACAGGGACTTTTTGGATGAATACATTTTGCTGCACCACTGGCAATGAAATATGTCATCAGCATGTTCACTAATGTAATGTTCACGTAAGACATGCCTTGTCGCAACTGGTAGCTCACATAACTTGCAAGTAAAAGGTTTACTATGATCATGAGTTGCTTTGTGCTTTTCAAGCTCAGTCATACTGCTGCACACCTTAGTGCAAAATGGACAGAAGTACTTTTGGTGGACTACATGCAGTTTCATGTGTCTTCTCAGATTTCCCGGATTAGAGAACACTCGCCCACATTTGGGACATTTATTAGATTTTTTCTCTTCTTCCTCTCTTCCATGGTCTTCAAGGTGACTTATCAGCAACAGGCCATCAGTGAAGCTTTTATCGCATTCAGAACATTGGTACTGCACAGATTTCTTTTCGGTACTAGAGTTTCCACTCTGGGCCTGATTTCCATATGAGCTTTGTGTCGATTCATCCTCTGGCTCTTCCTTACATGGGACATTAGTTTGCAACACTTTTGCACAGGGTGTTGTTGCTGCTCTCGTTTCAAAATTGCCTTTGGACTTGGGGCTAATAAAAGCATCATCCCTCTCTGCTTTTATAGGGATGTCCTGCCGTTGGTTTCCACGTCTACATTTTCTGTAGTGATTTCGGAGTTGAGTTTTATTCCAGAAGCCCCTTTTGCAGTATTTACAGACATAGGGTACTCGTGTTGAATGTACACGCTGGTGACCAATTAGTCCTGCTCTGTTTGTGAAGCACATGTTACACTCCTGGCAGACAAGCAAGTCTGAGGCATCAGGAGCTAGACCAGTGTCTGGTATAGGCAACACAACATCATTAGAGGAGGCTTTTCCGTAAAGCTCATCCACAGGCTCCTCTTTGATTTTGGGTATGTTGGACAGAAGTTGTTGCAGTGGAGCAGTAGAGATGGGTGGAGTGTCCGTGTCTTGCTTGTGTGTAGTTAAAAAGTGTTCCTGGAGTTGTGAAAATAACAAGAATCGTAAACTGCAGTATGCACATGAAAAGCCTTTCGGTGGGCTTTGAATGGTTGGCTGTTTGCTTTTGGAATCGTTTGGTGAGCAAGTTTTTAGAATGCAAGCTTTTTTGTGGTTTTCAAGTTGTGATTCAGAGAAAAATCCCCCACATCTGTCGCAGAGCACATTGCTGGGCTGAGTTTTATCTTTACACTTATGACGTGACAGATAATCACTTCTTATGAATCTCTCTCCACATTGATCACATGAATATGGCCTCTCTCCTGTGTGTAATCGGGTGTGTACATTTAACTGCCAGCTGTTTTTGAAAGCACGGGGGCAGTAGCTGCACACAAACTTAAGGTCTTTGTTGAATAAAGGCTGAATCCTCACCAATATTTTTTTCCTTATCCCATCAAGATTTTGGATAATATTGTCAGTTGGTTTATCAGTTTCCTGTAATGGAGTCTCTGATTCTCTCTGCTTTCTGCATTTTCTCATCTTTTGATGATGTTTCAATGTTTTTTCGTGAGAGAAGGCAGAACCACAATAGCGGCACTTGAATTTCTTTACAGTGTGGAACATAGTGATATGTCGAGAAAGTTTATTCTCAGCTGTAAAGCTTTTCAAGCAGACTTTACAGTCAAAGCTCTCTTGCTCATCAGGCGACTTTAGGTTGAATTTACTTTGCCAACCTTTGCCAACATCTTCCAGACTAATTTTAGGGATTCTCACTTCTAGCCGTGTCTTTTTACTTTTGCAAAGAGCCTGGTGCACTTTCAGGTGATCGTATCTTGAAAAGCAGCTGTCACAGGCTTTGCAGCGATATGGCTTCACCTCATTGTGCGTCAGAATGTGATGCCTCAGGCTTCGTGCTTTAATGAAAGTCTTAGTGCAGAATCTACATTTTAACTCAGCTTCAACCTCAGATGGGAATGTTTGTGAAGCAGAATCTTCCTCTGCCTCAATTTTGAGTTTTTGTGAATCTGATTTTGACTTAGGATGGCATGAAGCTTCATGATTTAACCATCGAGTTTTACTGCTAAACCTTTGGTCACAGTTCATACATTGGAAGGGTTGCAGGCCAGTATGTGTAACAGTATGTCTTAGTAAGAGGGATGTGTATCTGAACCGTTTTGAACAATATTGGCATTTTAGTGGCAACAATTTACTTTCATCTGAGTCAGAAGTTTTTTCTTGGACACCGTTGTTTACTTCAGTTGAGTTTGACTCTGAATTATCATCAAGGGATTCACTGGCCAAGGAGATCTCTTTGGTCCCGACGCACATCACCTTATGCCGAGTTAGCATGTGTATTCCATAGTATTGACCACATTTTGTACATATATGCAGAGACTTATTTTTGTGGCCCTTAATGTGCATTTCTAAACGGATTCTTTTCCAAAATCTCCGGGGACATATGGTACACGATAGCCGTTTGTTTATAGGATTACTCAAATTTGCTTCCATATTGGGATTGGTATTTGGTTGTTTACAACTCTCTGTGTGAATTTTGAGGTATACTGAACGGTAGAACTGTTTTCCACAGTTGGCACAGGAAAAAGCTTTTTCCCCGGTGTGTCTGATCGTGTGGCGTGTCAAAGAATGACGCGTTTTAAACTTTTTTTTGCAGAATGGACACTGGTTTGAAGAACTTCTTGAAATGTGTGCGAGAATGTGTTTTCTTAAAATGTGGGCATCATCAAATGTTTCTTTACAGAGTGAACATTGCAAAGATTTTAGCCCAGTCTGCTCTTTGACAGATTCAGAGCATTGTTTTGGCTTTGTTTGAGTTTCCATTGCAGGTTTCTGTGTCTTCTTGTCTTTGTTTCTGTGTGTCACTAAATGCCTAAGCAGATACACTGGATACTGAAACTGTGCTGGGCACTCTGGGCACTGGAGCATTCCCTTTTCAAGGTGAGAGCTTCGGTGTTGGATCAGTTCTCCAATTGTAGGTAGAACTTTTTTACAGACTGTACACTGTATCCTCTTCTGGTGTACAACTCTGTGAGCAATGAGATGTGAAAGGTTCTTAAATCCCTTTGCACATTCCAGACAGCGGTATGGTTTGTCACCACAATGACTACCCTCATGTCTCTTTAACGATGCTAGAATACGAAAATTTAGGCCACAAAAGCGACATCTAAAAGTTTTCTTTGGATTTTCTTCTACTTTGTCAGGTTGACTGGCATTCTTGTCAGTTTTTTTGTCACATGAAGATACTGGTTTGGGTAAGGCAGATTTCCTATACCTGATTATTTTGCCAGTCCGCTTAAACAACTCATGTTTTTTCATGTGTCTATACTTTCCAGAGGGATGAAAAAATATAGCAGGGCAGTGACTGCATTTGTAATGAATCTTGGATGCTAAATCTTGGGGTTCCTCCATTTTTGCTTCTTCCTCCTTAGCTTGTATCATCTGTAGAGGGTCTGTTGATTGGATCTTTTGCTCGTTGTGCTTACAAGACCTTTGACGCCATTTAAGCCTCTCTCTCGCGAGCCGATTAAGAGTTTCTCGCAGGCAAGTTAGTTTAATATGTCTATATCTGTTGCATGACGCAGTGAAGGTAGCATTACACAAGGGACATGCATATTTGTCACCAACTTTCTTCTTTCCTCCATATATTGCATCTCGGACACAGAAGCGCAAATGCCGAGCCCTGTTATACGAGTATTTGAAATGTCTTGGACAAAGAGGACATTTATATGGAGCATCTTTCTCACTTAGAGAGGACATCCTTTCCGCCTTGTGCACATTGTAGATATGCTTTTTGAGTCGTTTTGCGGAAGAAAAAGCTTTGCCACAATAGTGACAGACATTGGTTTTGGAGATGTCAATGAGCCTGACGTAACATGGCTTCATGCTTTCATATGAATTGTTTAGGGCCACATCTTTCTGTGTTGGGGTTTCAGTTTTGATAGGAATGGTGCATGTCTTCTTAGCTTTTAGAGACTGCTTGCACCTACCAGGAACTCTTCTGTGATGATTCAAAGAACTTGACTGTGAAAAGTACAAGCCACATCCACTGCACCTATAAGGTGTTCTTCCAGTGTGATCACGCATATGCCTAACATAGTGAAGTATTCTGGAAAATATTAGGCCACACCTACTGCACCTGTAGGGACCACAGTTTTTCTTCTTCTGTGTGCTGATCTGATTACAACAATGCTGTTCGCCATCTTCACTCTTCATGAAATAGACATCACATGTGTTACAATGTTGATAACTTGGCATTGGATGGCAACAGTAGTGGTGCTCGATCAGAAGATCTACACTGTTAGCTTTATGTAGACAATTAGAACAATTGTATGTGCTGCCCATTTTATCTGACGTCTCCATGTTCATCAGTATTACAACAGGGTGAAGGAAGGGTCTCATATGGGCAGATGATGTCAATTGAGGTATTGGCCGTTCTGGCTGGTCCATGGGGCCCTCCACAGGTGTCCTCTCATGCATTTCTTGAAGCTGATGTGAGACATCAACTGTTTCTAAAGCACTGCATGAAGACTCATCTGCAGACAGAGGTTCGCCATACAACAGGCCTGGTTCTGATGAGATGATTGTGGGAAAATCTGAATTTTCAAATGAATCCTTTGCATCTTCAGGAAAATCTACATGTTCCTTCTTTTCCTGAACCACAGAATGATCATTAAATGAATAGTGTGGATCTGGGAACAAAGCAGAATTTAAATTATTCTCCTGACCACTAGTGGCATGAGAGTTTAAACAGGACTTCAAGTTACTTAAATCTTTTTGTGTGTTAATGTCAGTTATAGAAGTGATAATACATGTTTGATCTGTATGGGAGGTAGCACTTGTGCCCACCAGTGGACCTTCATTTGAATGAGATAGAAGCACATCTGTGTTTAAGACATTTGGGTCTGGGGATTCTGAATGATCAATATCTTTAGTATCAATCGGGGAATTGGTATGAGTGACACGTGGACTAGATTTCTGACTTGAAGGCAATTCTGGAGTTTCCTTGTGTGGTAGACTTCCCGTGTCCTGATAAGTAGGCAAGTCTGGGCAATTACTATTGAGTTCTGACTGACTAACCATATCATTATCAACAGGGATATTGTCACTTGTGATAGAGGGACTGGAGTCTTTACTTGAGTAGGTGTTCTTTGCAGGGAGGTTTCTAGTTCCCTGAACTGTATGCAAATTTTTTGCAGAATCATTTTGCCTTAGTATGGATTCATCTTTTGAGAGGACCACAGTTGTGTTTTCTGGTGAGCTTTCCTTTTCCAGACTATGATTGCTGTCATTGATCAAAGGGGTTTGCTGCAAGTCTGTCTCAGTATGCACATGTTCATTATCTTTAAAAGCTGAATTCTTCAAAATGCCACTGAGGGCAATGGAGCCAATACAAGGCAGATTTTGGGAAAGTGTCAACTTTTCTGCACTTACATTTTTTTGAGCTTTATGAAAACATTCATCAGTATCTGAACTGTGTGTCATTGACGATGCTCGACTAGCCACACCTTTATTTTCAATTTCACTGAACTGATTAGAAGAGTAGCTCCTAGTATCACCTGGCTTGGAAAAATCCGCATCTAGAGAAAAAGCTGTGTTTTGCTCTACAGTTTTACATAGTAGTTCCTTGTCTTTTTGTACTTCTTGATCAATCTTTGTGACTGTGTTAGAGTCACGTGAATCATCATCACTCACACCACTGAGACTTTCACAAGATTTCTGTTCAGATGACTGCAAACTGAACTCCGTGTTATGGTTGTTGCTACTTAAAATGCTTTCGCTTTGCTCATCATCATTGTCTGAAGAATTTGATTCATGCAGAACCAGCAATTGAGATGCATCCTTCTGAATATCTCTTTCATGTTTGTCAGCTTTTATCATTTCATCTTCCAAATCAGTGGAATTTGAAATCATGGATGTTTTTTCATCAAAAAACTCACCTAATGAGCCTGATTTTTCCAAAAGGTTTGTTAAGCACCGATCTTTTCCTAACTCAGGCTCATTCATAGCTGTGCTTTGATCATCAGTTGAGGTTGGAGGATCCAATTCCTCACTTTGATTGATTTCCTCTAAAAAGTCATCCTTTATGTAACTCTGCTCATTGTCAAATTTAGACGGAGCTGTTGATTTTAGAATATGATCCTCCTCTTGGTTCACAAAATGCTGATTTCCATCTCTAGGACATTTTTCAGTCATACTGAAGCCTGGATATGTAGCTTCTGCAATGTCTCTGTCCAGATTAACCTTTTTTTGTGGATAAGGAAAAGCATCACGTTCAGTCCCTGTAGTCCTCACATCAGAAGAGTTAGCAGAAGAATGATCATGTTCCCTGTAATCTTTGACTGAAAATGAATTAATCGCTGAAGTTCTAGGCCACAGTCTTTCCATCTGGTTATTGCCATTTCCAGTTGCAGAGAAACTGTATTTCGTGGAGCCTTCATTTGAAACAATGTCAGTTTTTGGTCTTGGCAAAAAATTATTTCGGGTGAATTTGCATGAAGGCCGTGCTTCCCTAGCATCTGTGTCAGAGCAGTTGCTAACAGCAGAGTAGTTCCCCCGATATGATGTGGCTTGCATGTGGTCTTGCTTCGGACGATGAAAATCTGGTGCAAAAGACGAATGGTAAGATCCTGGTGTAGGGAAGGAGTTTGAAGCATAGTTGGGGAAATCTCTACCCCTATATCTTGGCGGGTAATCCCTTGCCACATCTTGTCTATTACCTTGCCATTGCCTTTCATTGTACCGGTTATAAAAACAGTCTGACCTTGGAGGTTCAAAACTGTTACTTCTGCAATAGTTCGCATTAAAGTTTGTGTTTGGTGCAGGGAATTGTCGTGATCCCACTGCACCAGAGAAACCATGATGTCCAGTAAAGTTTCCAAAATGCTGGGGTGCAGATCTATCAGACTCTGCTGTCCTCCTTAGACTTCGAGGATCTGACGAACGAGGTGGGAAGTTTGGAAAGTATGAATTCCAGCCATGAGCCATTTTGTTAAAGGATTAGCAAAAATGGCTTTTCGCATCCAATCCTAAAATAAAGAAGAAAAAAAAAGAAGAAAATCAGTTTTAATACTAGAAAAGCACTCAGAAGTGCAGATCTCTGCTGAGCAGTACATTTTTCTCCATATTGCGACTTACACCTATAGCTTAGACTTGCACATAATCTGGATCAGTACCAAATTCCTCATAAGTTCTAAATTGACCCTGCTAACTAACAAACTGACAATGTTACCTTTTCTTGTGTTTTGATCTTCAGTAAAATACCTCCAGATGTTTTGAGTCGAATGCTAAGGTTGTCAGCAGTCACTGTTGCCACACTATGATTTGCTGCTTTTTCTGCCAAATATCCCTATTGCACAATGTTAGAGAATCCTTCAAAAACTCCTGCATTCAGATTATGATCTGGATCATCACCAAAATGTAGGGATTGCTCCTTGGTATGAGGGACACATCTGATAATTTCATTAGAATCTGTCAATATTTCTTTGAGTTATCCCACAGACAGACGGACGCAAAAACCTATGACAAATCTCATATTAGAAAGCATAATTGCTTACCTTTACTGGGACATGGCACCATCACAGGTTAGTAAAGCCACATCTGGGGGTGGGAGGTGAGCCTGCATTAAAACATGTATGAATTAATAATCAAAGTCTAGCGTTTCCTGTCGCTTGCGCGGTGAATCGTGCCGCCTGCGCTGTGCGGAGATGCAGGGGAAACATGTATGAATTAATAATCAAAGTCTAGCGTTTCCTGTCGCTTGCGCGGTGAATCGTGCCGCCTGCGCTGTGCGGAGATGCAGGGGAAACATGTATGAATTAATAATCAAAGTCTAGCGTTTCCTGTCGCTTGCGCGGTGAATCGTGCCGCCTGCGCTGTGCGGAGATGCAGGGGAAACATGTATGAATTAATAATCAAAGTCTAGCGTTTCCTGTCGCTTGCGCGGTGAATCGTGCCGCCTGCGCTGTGCGGAGATGCAGGGGAAACATGTATGAATTAATAATCAAAGTCTAAATAAAATTTCTAAAATTGTTTAAGTTTTTAACCTATCCAGTGCACTAAAACAAAGAAATATACCTAGAGAAGTATATTAAATATAATAAAACAGAACTACAGCTAAAATCAGTAGTTAAAAAGCAATTTTACCACTGGCTACTAAATTGTAAACAGGAAATAAAAGGAAAGAGTAAATTTTGAGTGGCGGTGCCTACACAGGGCCTTTGTAAAATAGCACTTTTGTAAATAAACAGACCCACAGTTACAAATAGGGTGACCAAATGTCTTACTTGGTATGGGACTGTACTTTGTCACTGTATCCCACAAAGTTATGGAGGACCAGCTCTACCATTTTTACAAATGAAAACAGAAATAAATAAATGCTAAATAAATAAATAAGCATACAATTAAATCCAGAAGTTGACCCTCTAAGACACAGCCCTTCTTCGTTTGCATAATGAGGCAGAAATGCATACAGAAATGTAAACATGACAGGCAGAAATAAATAGCATTGCAGAAATACTTAGGGTAAAAAAATACAAAGGAAAATAAAACAGACAAAAATATAACATGCACATAAATACTTAAAAAAAGTTAATAAATAAAGTTGAACATTATAATGGACAATAAATAAATAAGATAATTATTACAAAGGCGAATACATAAACAAGCTAATTAAAAGAAATATATACATTTACAGTGTTGGGCACGTTACTTTGAAAAAATAATTAGTTATAGTTACTAGTTACTTCTCCCAAAAAGTAACTGAGTTACTAACTGAGTTACTCCACAATAAAAGTAACTAGTTACTAGTAAAAGTAACTATTGCATTACTTTTGCATTTCTCGCCCCCGTAACCCTCACCACCCGGCCCCCACCTTCTCGCCGTGTGTTTCAAAAGCCAGCTGAATAGAGCGGATGACAAAGACAAGAACCTGCAGAGAGTTTTGCATTTATTGCAGCTCAACGTAAATGACATTAGGGGGGAACGCGATGTGAAGTTTTTTAACAGGGCATTCAGATCTGGTGAGTATATGAAATTAATAACTGGGGTTGTCTAATTCTGAAATCCTGTGTGTTTGGGTTGTTATAGATACTGCAACATCTATCTATCCATCTAGATGTGTACTCTGTGTGTGACATAAAATATGGATCTTCATCCCTGCCACAAAGGCCATTAAATAATGTTTAAAATAAAAAATACAGTAGGTTGAAAAGGCAGAGTATCCATCCAGATTTCTCCCTTTCTCCATAGAGGCTATCATTTGATCCTTCAAGCTCTCCATAGTTCTCCTGTGGCGCGAGCACAGGGCAACTGTTGCGCGCCATTAGCGCGGATGCGCGTTTCCTGTCGCTTGCGCGGTGAATCGTGCCATCTGCGCTGTGTGGAGATGCAGGGGAAACCGTATATCTGATGGGGAAATGCAGCTCGACGTAACACCGGTATTTCCATCTGAAAAACGCTGTTTTGCTGCTGGAGTCATCCCCACTCTCCATCTCTCTGTGTGCGCTGTACGTTAACACCTCCCAGAGGAAACACCCACCTACCCAACTGACAGACGTCTCACTATACATCAGCCATTCTCATCCTCCCCTCTCTCATGACACGGCGCGCACGAGTCCTATCATGAAAAAAGGTTCATTGTGTGATGCAGATGCACGCCGGGGCCTACACAGCTCGTACTCCTGCGGGTGTGACAGCTGAGATGATAATAAAAAAAAAAGTTGGTTGTGTTATCTAGGGCTGGGTATTGTTAAAAAATTTTTGGTTCCGGTACCAATACCGATACCTTCAATTCGATACCGGTTCCTGAACGATACTTTTTTCGATACCAGTTTTATAATATCAATTCGAAGAAAAAGAAAATTACACAACATAAAAAAGTACAAATCTTGAGTTTTATTTTAAGCTCTGATTTTTCCATTTACATTTTTCCTCTCACAGTACATAAAAAAAAAAAATTCACTGTCTAATATTCACTGTTACATTGTGAGGACCTTTTTACTTAGCAGTTTTCCTTTAGAAAAAATACCATGTCTGACAAACAAGCCCATTGAATGGGATCCTACTGACAGCACCGCTGGTATGTGGGGGTCTGAGCGGCTCCCACAGAAATATTGGAAGGCGGGATGAACTGACTGCACTGATTAAGTTTTCAGGTGGATTTACCCACTTAAAAACATAATAAAACTACTTTATTCCCACTGATCACAGCAAATATAGCTGCAAGGCAAATAAAGGATAGAGTAGCTCCGCCCAACGCGCGTCAGAGCCACTTTTCGACCGCGCAGCCAGTGCAGCAAAGCTGCTTCAGCCGCGCGTCAGAACTAAACTGGTACAAGCAGCAAAAAGGAAGCAACAGACGCGATTTTGCTGCTCCTGCTGCGTCCAGTTTAAAAGCAGCATGATTCACTTCGTTCTGGCTTTGCACTGCCCACGGGCTGCTGAGAGGAGGGTGGCTGCGGTCCGCTCTTCTTGCAGTGAAACACTGAGCAACGTTCTGCTCTTAAATTGTTTACGTGCACGATGTATTGCATTGCGCACTATTGGCATCAGTGTTAATAAA